GTCATTAGAAATTTTCTATGATTACTTACCGCGTAAAAAATTAAAAATAAAGAAATTAAAAAAGTATATCGAGGACATGTGTGAAGTCCGTTACGACGACTCGTGCTTGCTTCAAAATGCGCGAATTATGTTATTATGCTGATATGAGTTATTACACTCTATGTTCTAATGCGTTCTGCGATCGCAAAATTTACCAGCCATAATTATAATATAAAAATTTATAGCAGGTTATATTAAATAACGATACGGGTGCTAATAAAACTGTACATATAAACATAAAATACGTAATTTTATGTAAAATAGAATAAATTCTTACATAAAATAAACTGTACTATCATTAATATTTGCATTCAATTTTCTCTTACAATAGATTTCTTAAGCAGTGTGTCTGAATAACGATTAGTTTTTTTTTTATTGGATCGGGTGACAAACGAGCACACAGTCCACCTGATGGTAAGTGGTTACTGTGACCCATAAACATCTACATCTATCCTCAATAAAGACTCAAGATGCAGATGCGTTGTCACCCGTGAGGACTAAGATGGAATGCCTCTTTGCCAGTAAAAAGGGTCTCCGGTTCTCTACACTCACCATATGAAACACAGCAGCGTTAAGCTGCTATTTTACGCTGGTTTTCTGTGAGAGCGTGGTCCTTCCCCGGTCGAGCCGACCCATTCGTGCTACAACCATAATATAGCTGCAGCATAACTCTACCACGGTAGAAAATGTAAATAATTGTTGTGAATGTATTCTGCCTATATGTGGAAGCTTTCTATTGGCGTATAACTTATGTAGTTATCTATATTCTATATACTATACTATAATAAAACTGTGAAACGATTTGGATGGGAATTTCACTGGCAGATAGCTGATGTTATAAGAAGTAACTTAGGCTACTTTTATTTTAGGAAAAGAATTAGGGTTTCGCGCAAAAAAATTAAAACCCATGAAATTCAATCGCAATAAATTCCACGCAGACGAAGTCGCGGGGAACAGCTAGTATAGAAAGTAAATATAGCTGTAAGCTCAGCGAATAAAATAAAATAAAAGTATGCATATACTTCTAGGTACATAATTATTATAAATTCATAGAATGCAAAAAAAAAGACTAACTTTACTAGATCCTATATTTCGCGGATTTTTATAACCGCTAGTTCAATAAACATTTTGCTACACGCATGTGTGCTCTGTGAAATATTTAAGGGGACGTACTCTTAAATTAGGTCTCCTGGTTTGCGCTCCCATAGGATCCTATGTGGTTTGGGGCAGATTTATTTTTAAATCTGATAGTACGCGTTATAACAAAACTTTAATTCGCAATTAAAAATGCTGATATTTCTCGTGTTCAGTGTTGATGTAAAACATGGTTAAGAATCTATATGACCGAGAAGTAAAACACTTAGGTATATTACGGAGACATGTGAAGTCCGTCAATATGCACTGGACCAAGACTCTTTCCACTGTCGACCTTCCATTTCCAGTTTCGGCTTGTAATCGTATTCCATACTCTAACAAGCTGAAACTGCTCTCAAACTGTCAAATGTTTTCATTTTATTAACAATTTCTTCATCCACCTTTTCTACTCTTTGGATAGCACCATTACCACGACAATCCCAAAAGTAGAAACTTAATTGTATAGTGGAGACTTAGATTAACGCCATGAACAATTCGCGGCACGTAAGTCTAACGCTGAACGAAACATGGAGGGGACGCGCACGAATTGAATTGCACGAATACGACTAGAGAGCCAATCAGCGTATGCCAACGATACGCACGAGTCAATCAGCGCGACTTATGCGCAATAATGGTTATCGCTAGACTTTCGTGCCGCGACTTATAGTGGCTGTGTAAGAAAATCTATTGCCACGACTTCGTCCGCGTGGAATTTATTATGATTTTATGGGTTTTAATTTTTTACGCGCAACTCTAACTCTTTTTTTATAATAAAAGTAGCCTAAATTAGTCCTGTCAAAATCGGTCCAGCCATTTTGGAGATTAGCCGAAACAAACAGACAGACAGAATTTTTTAATTTTTTTTCTTATATGTACCGTATCTCTATTCGTACTTTTTAAAATATATACTTTCATATGCATTTAGTAAAAACCTGTTATTTTGAAATTACAAACAGACACCTCAATTTTATTTATTTATATACATAGTGCTTAACCTTAACAACAACACAAAGAAACCAGATTCCTATCTTACCCCTCTACAAGGCATTAAATTGCAACAGAGTAATTTATAACAGAGAATTCATATAACGTTGAAGGAATGTATTCATTATTCACGTCTGATATGGGCATAAAACACAATTTAATTTTTCTCTTGTAGTCTCTTTTTATTCAGTGATACTTTTAATTATTCGTTTTATTTACCGTTTAAGTAGCATAATAGCATTAGGACTTAAAACCACCTTAATTTATTGAATTCGAAGATATAGACCACAATATTTCAATGGGTTGTATTTGCAATATTTAAAAAAATAATTTATAATTAAAAATTTTGTACAGCCGAATTCAATATAAGTTATTAAGAATAACTCAAAAATTATTGGTCTGGCCTTGATCAAATCGGTCCACCCAGTAATAACTTATGAGGTTACACACATAAAAAAGTCATACAGTCGAATTGAGTACCGTCTCTTTTTTGGAAGTAGGCAGAAAATAGGGCACCTGCTTGTGGACAACTTCAGTACCGTTTAACGAGTTGGCTCACTACCTCCACAAACATAATTAACAAATAATTTGAAATTTCAACATATATTTTATTGTAGAGCTATATTATTTATAACGACATATTATTTAGAGTCGTCATGGCAAGGATTCCTGTATATTTTAAACTTTGCACAGTAATACATCTCATATCAACATAACATTTGTTTTATGGAAAACAATATAATCACTCAAAGTCAAATATATTAAGGAATTCGGTAAAGGAAATATTAATGCTTATTACTAGATTTGTTAGGTGGTGGGACTCCTTGCCTAAGAGTTTAGTTGGTACTACTACATCTTCATACACGTTTACAGCAATACACCCATTAGTTCCGGTTTGGAGTACAAAATGGATTCTATAGTTACAAGTTGTGAGGCATTCCAATTTAGCGTGTTGAGGTGACAGGTGGCCTTCTTTGTTTGTTGGAAATTGATTGTCATGCGTGACCATTATAACATCTCTGTACAATCGGAGAGCCCCATGTTCAGCAGCGGAAGGATACAGACTAGTGAAGAATAATCGCAAAACTATACTTTTTACGTTTTAGCACTGATGGCTTTTTAGCGTTTTTTTTACAGAATACTCATTATAGTTTTCGCACACAGATTACAAAATCTGGTGTTTTAAGCATCCTCGTTAGATTTTTTTCATCACCATATTTAGATCGGTACAACAAATACAAGTAGGAGAGTTTACAACAAAATTCTTATAGAAATATGAAATAATTTTATGTTATTTTTGTAATACGTTAAATATAATTTATTTTGAAATTCATAAGGCAGTTTTTACACATTTTATACTTAATTAAATTCCATCCATCAATTTTTGCACAAGCAATCTCTAATTTTTGGGTACTCTACAGTACCTCAATCGCGCTTACAGTATTTTTGCAAAAGATAGCATATAAGCAACCGCTCCAATGGATTCGCCGGGGAGTCCAGTACCACTCGGTAAAGCGGTACTGCGCAGCCGCTACCACGAATATGCGCTGCACACCTAAATTAGACCTTATCACACGTCACATAAGATCCTAACCCTTCAACATTTGCCATTCTGTCGACTAGAAGAAATCGCTAGACTGTACTTTGGATACCTGCGACGCTGTAGAATGACGAATGCTTGGACACGCAAAGAACTGCTAACAGCACCTATGTGTGGTAGATTTGACTCCTTTTTTGGAATGTATTTACATGATATTCTTTTATATTCATTCAATAATACATAACATTATTTAAATTTTTGGATAGTTAGAAGTTAATTTAATTTTTATTATGATTATCTTTGTCTAAGTGCAACTGTACAACTGGCATACCTCTGTAATGCCATGTGGCATTCTCTACCAATCAAAACGAGCTAGCAACCAACGTGATAAGAAGCGGCTACTGCAGGACATCCTGCAATCAACTGCAACTGTAAGCAAGGGTCACACATGCATTGTCACTCTGAGGAATAAGATGACAAACCTTATAACTCGACTCTATTGTCATTAGGCTAAAACAGCCCTACTTCCTAATAAATTAAAAAAAAAACAATCATTTTTAAAATTTTTATTCTGCCATCTGACGGAATCTACAAAAATTTCAAAGCATTTCCCCTATCCAACTTTTATAAGCCCGATGATAATATTGCGTGTTGAAACTACATGCGGCAAAGAATTCTCACGTCACATCCAAAGAACTTTAAAAACATTAACTTCCAGGAACTCTCAGCTCTTGAAATAACTATTACATTTTTTTACTTTTTTTTTTACTTGCCTTAATAAAAACTCCAAGACCAAAGAAAACCCTTTTTATTTCATTTTCTACTATAATATATAATAGACTCCCGATGGAGTTAAATAATTACAAACATACTTTCCAGTTGAAACCCCTTCTTTGTGATCTTGCGGTAATTTCCTACTGCGCATGCCTCGATTGCGTCAAATAAACACGCTCCAAACATCGCGAGGTTGTTAAAATGCTCTGATAGATTTTATTAAAAAAAGAAGTATTATCAATTAATTCATATTAAATATAACAAAGTAAATATAACCTTAAGGTAAGTGTATTTAACATTTGCTAAATTATAAGAATGTCATATACAATAGACAAATTATCCAACATTGTGACTTGAATTATTTTATTTATCATATTTTATGTATTTTTTGAAAGTGCTCATAATTATAATTAATTATTTAGTAATAAGATCATTTTGTAATAAATAAATAGGTAGGTACATGAGAACTGAACGAAGAAAAAGGATATATAATGATTTTTGTTGTTGTTTTCATTCCACAGATTAAGAAATGACTTCAGGCAGTTCAGGAGCAGTGTTTTTCTTAGGAACGCGGGCCCATTATCAGGTAGTTTAAAAATGAATTATACTCAAATAAAATAATCACAGTTAATGATAATTTTAAAAATAAAATGATTGGAAAATAATATATTTTATTATAATTACATTTTAATATCAACTGTACTAATTTAAATTACTTTTACCATCAATGCTAACGCGAAAAGAAAGAAACAGAGCGGGTAGAGACTGTTACGACACTTCCATGTGTTGACTGGTTTCAAATAACACCTAAAAATTATATACTTCAGGCATTCCTTTTTTTTATAGAATAAGGGTGACAAACGAGCACACAGTCCACCTCGATTCAGAATCAAAATGCAGATACGTTGCCGCCCCTGAAGACTAATATGGAATGCCTCATTTCCAGTAAAAAAGGATCTCCGGCTCTCTACACTCACCATACGAAACACAGCAGCATTAAGCTGCTATTTTACGCTGGTATTCTGTGAGAGCGTGGTCTTTCCCCGATCGAGCCGACCCTTTCGTGCTAGACCCATAATATAGCTGCAGCGTGGCTCTACCACGTAACATTATTATGGCTTTATTATGGTTTACTTTACTGATACTTACGGATTTAGGCTTTAGTCCGTAAGGCCTAGTCTGACGGTAGCAGAATTATTTGCACGGCAGTGAAATTTGAAACCATAAAAGGAATAGTCTTGAAATAAAAATAAACATGCTGTATTTACAACATAAATATAAATATTTTTATATCAATATCATTTAGTTTTAATTGTAATCTATGTTGAATAAAAACATTTTTTTTTCAAACAAGTTTTTACTTCAGGTGTTAGACCAGCCTGAGTCTAGATTCGATTCTGAGAATGGAAATACGTCAACGGAAACCATATACCAGAACTCGACCTCGGTTCAGGAGTTGTGGCCTAAAGCGCAGACAACTACAACAGCGGAGGAAACTGGAGATCGGAGGAATTGGAACTATGAGGAGGATGTTACTGGTATTTAATTTCTCTATATTTTTTACAGAAGAGGGAGAAAACGAACGTACGGCTATAGCTGATGACTAATGACCACCAACGGTCATGAATATCCATACACAACATCATTGGAAATGCAATTTCTTTGCCAGCCTTTTTCATAGGGAGTTATATGTGGTAGAGCCACGACTGCTGCACAAATTGGTCGGCTAATATAAATGCAGCGTGACTACAAATGTAATCCACTTTAATTAAAGTCATATTTAAGACTAGCTGGTACCCGGCGCGTTGCTGCCGCAGAAAAAAAATATGGAAATACCGTTTTAAATTTAGAAGGGTTATATTGTTTAAATAGGAATGATAATACATTCATTGACATTGAATCACATATTATGATGTCAAATAAATATGTCGGTACGATACGCGCGCCACCTGCTGTAATTTAATTGTACTATGGCTATTGTCGTGTAGTGGCGGTCAAGAATACCACTACCCCATATCCTCCCGTGGGTGTCGTAAAAGGCGACAAAGGGAAACAGGCAGGAGATGGGCAGCAGCATCTTCCTGATAATAGCCAAAATTACATTAAAAAAAAAACTGCGGTTGCCAACCCGCTCGCCAAGCGTGGCAACTATGGCAAATACCCCCCTATGCATGTAACAAAGAGACGGCCCCCAGTCCCCGGCGGCCCCGCTATTCCTGGCTACGGTGGCGACCATGGTAACGGCGGGGCAGGGGGTGCTAAGAATCTCCGGTGGAGGTTCGGTTGCCACCTTAGACGACTCGACCTGGCAACGTACAACGCACGCACCCTGAGGACTGACGAGAAGATCGTGGAGCTGGAAGAAGAGATAGACAAGTTGCGCTGGCATATTATAGGATTATCCGAAGTCCGAAGAGAGGGGGAGGACACGGTAATCCTCGAATCCGGCAACTTGCTCTATCACCGGGAGGGCGACCATCTGTCCCAAGGAGGTGTCGGATTTATCGTCCACAAGTCTCTCGTTAACAACGTTGTAAAGATCGGGAGTGTGTCGACGAGGGTTGCGTACCTTATACTCAGAATCACCAAACGGTATTCGCTGAAGGTCATACAGGTTTACGCACCAACCTCGGCACACCCCGATCAGGAGGTGGAGGAAATGTATGAGGATATCTCTAGAGCCATGCATTCCTCCAAAACCCAATATACGGTGTTAATGGGAGACTTCAATGCAAAACTAGGCACAAGAGAGAACGGTGAGCTGAAAGTAGGGAAATTTGGAATAGGGCAACGGAACCCAAGGGGCCAGCAGCTGGCCGACTTCATGGAGAAAGAGGGACTCTTTATGATGAACTCTTTCTTCCAGAAGCGGCCCCACAGGAAGTGGACCTGGTCGAGCCCCGACGGTTCGACAAAAAATGAGATTGACTTCATTATGACGACCAGACGACAACTGTTCAGTGATGTCTCCGTGATCGCGAGGGTGAAAACTGGTAGCGATCACCGAATGGTTAGAGGCACACTGAACCTAAACGTTAAGTTGAAGAGGTCTCGTCTAATGAAGTCAACGCTCCGTCCCCCTCGTGCTCTGTTCCAAAGTCCCGAAACCTTTCAGCTCGAGTTACAAAACCGTTTTCAGTGCCTAGAAGACTGCAATGAAGTGGACGATATGAATGACAAGCTCGTGGAAACTGTCCATGCGGTCGGAGCTAAGTTCTGCAAGACCCGCCGCAGAAGAACACAAAAACTCTCCGATCACACTCTTAATCTCATGGCTGTTAGACGGGAGATGAGGCTACATTCTTCAACAGACTTGACAGCATACAGGCATCTGAACAGACAGATCTCCAAATGCATGCGGCGGGACTTACGCAACTTCAATACAGCTCGTATTGAAGAAGCGATCGAGCGGAACCAAGGCTCCAAAGTCTTTGCCAGAGATCTGTCTGCCAGAAAGAGCCACCTGTCAAGGCTGAAGACAGAATGTGGCAGCATCGTTTCCGGGACACCTGAGATTTTGAGTGAGATTGAGAGGTTCTATGGGCAGCTGTACACGTCATCGTTGGAGCCACACGCAAGTGTGAGTAACGATCCAAGAGCGAGTCTCATCCGACACTATTCCGAAGATATCCCGGACGTTAGTCTGAGCGAGATTAGAATGGCTCTCCAGCACCTTAAAAACGGTAAGGCCCCAGGCGAGGATGGAATTACAGCGGAGCTTCTGAAAGCGGGTGGAAGACCGATACTTGAAGTCCTTCAGAAGCTCTTTAATTCCGTCCTCCATGGTGGCATCACACCGGAGGCATGGAGCAGAAGTGCGGTGGTCTTGTTCTTCAAGAAAGGTGACAACGCTCTCTTGAAGAACTACAGACCGATTTCCCTTCTGAGCCGCGTCTACGTGCTGTTTTCGAGAGTCATTACGAATCGTCTCGCGCGCAGACTTGACGACTTCCAGCCTCCCGAACAAGCCGGTTTCCGAAAGGGCTTTAGCACCATAGACCACATACATACCCTTCGGCAAATTGTACAGAAGTCCGAAGAGTACAATTTGCCACTATGTCTGGCGTATGTGGACTATGAGAAAGCCTTTGATTCCGTCGAAATTTGGGCGGTGCTGCAGTCCCTTCAGCGGTGCCAAGTTGACTGTCGGTATATCGAAGTGTTGAAGTGCTTGTACAGTAGGGCTACGATGGCTATCCGAGTACAGAACCAGAGTACGAAACCTATCCAATTGCAGAGAGGTGTAAGACAGGGTGACGTCATATCCCCGAAACTCTTCACCGCTGCATTGGAAGACGTTTTCAAGCTTCTGGACTGGAAAGGATACGGTATCAACATCAATGGCGAGTACATCACTCACCTTCGATTTGCCGACGATATAGTCCTTATGGCAGAATCGCTGGAGGACCTAAGCACTATGCTCAATGACCTCGATAGTGTTTCCCAACGGATAGGTCTTAAGATGAACATGGACAAAACAAAGATCATGTTCAATGTCCATGTCACACCTATGCCGGTAGTTGTTGGGAGCACTAAGCTTGAAGTTGTTGACGAGTATGTTTACCTGGTACAAATAATCGACTAGGTAAGTCCAACTTCGACCGAGAGGTCAATCGACGGATTCAACTCGGCTGGGCAGCGTTCGGGAAGCTACGACACATCTTCTCGTCAGATATACCTCAAAACCTGAAAACGAAATTGTACAACCAGTGCGTGTTGCCAGTGATGACTTATGGAACTGAGACGTGGTCCTTCACTGCTGGCCGTATGAGGAAGCTCAAGGTCGCTCAGCGAGCTATGGAGAGGGCTATGCTCGGAGTTTCTCTGCGTGATAAACTTAGGAATGAGGATATCCGCAGTAGAACCAGAGTAACCGACATAGCCCAACGGATTAGTAAGCTGAAGTGGCAGTGGGCCGGCCATATAGCTCGAAGAACCGACAACCGATGGGGAAGAAAGGTTCTCGAGTGGCAGCCTCGTACCGGTAGACGAAGTGTAGGGCGTCCCCCCACGAGATGGAGTGACGACCTGGTAAGACATGCAGGAAGTCGATGGATGCAGGTGGCTCAGGACCGTGCTTTGTGGCATTCTTTGGGGGAGGCCTATGTTCAGCAGTGGACTTGTGAAGGGCTGTAACGAACGAACGAACGAACGATGGCTATAACTTTCGCGCAAGTGTAAGCAATAAGTTGACAAAGTTTTAGCGCAACCTGATGAACGGTATGGCAGCGCATAAAATACGAACAAACAAAAATTAATCTTTATATATTACATATTAATGTACTCACGGTAATTAAAAGTGTTTTTTATAGTTGCGTACGAAAAAGAGAAACAGGAGATCGGCGTGTGCGTGAAGAGGCGCCCGAGGAGACGACAAAGTGAGGCTGCGCTGTGTGAAGAGGAAATGAGGCCCGCCATGCTGAATAGCGTTGGAGACAAGTGAGTGAGGAAAATATAAATATTTCAAAAAATGAAATTACAATGATTTTCTTAGGTTTATGTGCATGCGTCGGCATGTACTATATAATAGTTTTACCGATTTTATATTATTCTTAAGATATCTACTTATGAAAAAGGGGGTGGGAAGGGGGAGGGGGCTTATGGCTCTAGCGGCTCCGGGTGCTAATAGTCCATTCTACGCCATTTTTTATAATTGTTTCATCATCATCATCACTATCATCATTACAGCCCATCACAAATCCACTGCTGAACTCAGGCCTCCCACAAGATATGCCACAAAGCACAGTCCATAGCCACCTGCATCCATTGACTTCCTGCATCACTTAGCATGTCGTCTCTACAGTTAGTGAGAGGCGACCCTTCAGTTTACATTACCGGCACGAGGCTGCCACTCGTGAACCTTTATTCCCTATAGGTTGTCGGTTTTTCAAGGTATATAGCCTATCCAGAACCACTTCAGCTTACTGACCTTTTGTAATTGCTTATAGGTTTTTTTTTTTATAGAATTAGAGTGTCAAACGAGGACACAGTCTACCTGATGGTAAGTGGTTGCTATGGCCCATAGACATCTACATCTATCCTCGATTACGTATCAAAATGTAGATGGGTTGTCACCCCTGAGGACTAATATGGAATGCCTCGTTTCCAGTAAAAAGGGTCGCCAGTTCTCTACACTCACCATACGAAACAAAGCAGCGTTAAGCTGTTACTTTACGCTGGTATTCTGTGAGAGCGTGGTCCTTCCCCGGTCGAGCCGACCCGTTCGTACTACAACAATATCATTGATATAGCTAAAGCATGGCTCTACCACGTATTACATAAGGTATCTAATTGTTTATGATTATATCCTTACAACTATAGTTTAAAGAACTACCGATGTGGTAGAAAGGTTAGCGAGTGGCAACCACGTACCGGTAAAGGAAATTTAGAGCGGCCCCCATTAGCTGAAATCATGACTTGGTAAGACATGCAGTAAGTCGATGGATGCAGGTGGCACACGACTATGCTTTATTTATTTATTTAACAATTTATGTACACACAAAATAATGTTACAAGGAAGAGAAAGAAAAAGATATTTTGTACAAAGGCACTGCTTATTTCATATTGAAATTTCTTCCAGCAGGCCTGATACTGGACAAATTAAAAGAGAAGCTGATCTAGTGTGCACTCTCATAATAAAATTTTATAATATTAATATACTTAACATAAAGTAAAGATAATAAAAACAAATATCCATGTAAACATACATATAACTAAATACCACTATAAATACATATACACACATACATACATATATATATATATATATATATATATATATATATATTTATACATATATATGTATGTATGTGTGTACATACATATATATATATATATATATATATTACATATATAAATATAATAATATATTATATATAATCATTGGGACGACAAAGAAAGATAGTGCTCTTTGACTCGCCTTTTGAACACGGACACTGATTGAGCCTCTCGAATTGCAGCAGGAAGAGAATTCCATAACCTAACTGCATGTACTGTAAAAGAGTGAGAATAGGATAAGTCCTTCCCTTCCTCTAAAACTAAGGTTTTAGAGGAAGGGAAATTTAGGAGGGTTTTTAAATGTGATCTGCAAACTGCATCGGGGGAGTGCGCAAAGTGGAATCGATCACGTAGATAGGGTGGTGATGTTGGATTGTATAGTATGTTAAAGAGGAGGCATATGATTCGGGTATTCCTGCGAAGTCGGATTGGGAGCCACTTGAGCTGTTTGCGATAGGAGGAGACGTGGTCATACTTTTTTAGTCCGAAAATATAACGAATACATAAGTTTTGCAAGCGCTCAAGTTTGTTTAATTGCTCCTCAGTCGCATCCAAATAACAGACATCAGCATAGTCAAGAATCGGGAAAATAAGTGTTTGGACAAGAGAAATCTTCGTTGATAACGGCAGAAAATGTTGAAGGCATTTTAAGGAATGAAAAGTATAATATATTTTCCTGCTAATTTCTGTGATATGTGCATTCCATGTCAACTTGCAATCCATTATGATGCCCAGATTCTTAACCGTTTCTGAAATGCTTAGTGGAATACCATTAATTTGCAGAGTTGGCAGTGAAGAAAAGTCAAGTAATTTATATGCTTTGTTTTTCTTTGCTTGGGACTCCTTGAGGGAGGCCTATATTCAGCAGTGCACTTGTAATGATAATGATGTACATGTAAATCTTTTTTAAAAGTGAACCACCGAAGACGAAACCCTCTCGTCGCATAGCTCTTATGAGTTTTCTTACCTCGCTGGCGAGACGCAAGCGTCGGCTGGACTCCGAGCATGTGCAGTATCTGCGACACCTCGAGAGCGCCCTCACGAGCTGCACGTATCGCGAATCGTGCCGCTGTCTTGACTGCCAGGTGAGGTCTTTTTTACACGCTCTCACAGAATACCAGCGTAAAATAGCAGCTAATGCTCCTACTGTGTTTCGTATGGTGAGTGTAGAGAACCGGAGACCAATTCTACCCACCTTTAGACCCATTTTAGTCCTCACGGCTGACAACGCATCTATATTTTCTATTCGCAAACGAAGATAGACGTAGATGTCTATGGACCACAGCAACCACTTACCATCAGGTGGACTGTGTGCTCGTTTGTCACCCTTATTCTATAAAAAAAAAAACGAGACACTCTATCTTAATCCTCGTGGGTAAAAACGTATTTGCATTTTGATTCTTAATTAACTGATTGAGCACCCACTTACCATCTGTGTGCTCGTTTATCATCCACATTCTATAAAAAAATTACAAAAATTGGCGGTCGATTATGTATTCACATGAAGGTAAGTGGTACTTGTGGTTCATTGTTAAGTAAGTTAATCATCACCATCATCATTACAGCTGTACCCAGAACTGGGGCACGTATTAGTCTGCAAACCTTACGTAACTTACCTTGACCGTGTGGTGGCGGTGTAGGAATGTGCACTACCCCATATTGGTACCGCAAGTGTTGTAATTAGCGACAGAGGGATACAAACTAGGAGATGGGCAGCATCGTCTTCCTAATTACAACTATAAAATCGAAAGTCGCCTACCAAGTGTGCAACTATGGAGAATAATACGTGGTAGAGCCATGCTGCGGCTATATTAGTAGTATAGTTGTAGCACGAATGGGTCGGCTCGACCGGGGAAGGACCAGGCTCTTACAGAATACCAGCGTAAAATAGCAGCTTAACACTGCTGTATTTCGTATGGTGAGTGTAGAGAACCGGAGACCCTTTTTACTGGATAAGAGGCATTCCATCTTAGCCCTCACGAGTGACAACGCATCTGCATTTTGATTCGCAAACGAGGATAGATGCCACAACAACCACTTACCATCAGGTGGACTGTGTGCTCGTTTGTCACTCGATCCTATAAAAAAAAATAATGTCCTCTAGAACGAATTTCGGTCACGGCAGCCAGTCTCAACGGAGACTAGCCAACTGCTCAGGACAGGTTTACACACCCGGTTTTGAATCTCGAGTCGGACAAAAAAATTAATTATCGAGTTTTTATGTCAAGAAATACGCGGTGTTTCAACCCGGTGCTTCGGAAAGCAACACGTACATCATATCGGTTTGCCGTCACATCGGACTATGAGAGTGAGGGAATAGAGAGTGCAGGTGCACTCTGCATGCGTTATAAGATTTTCACAATTGCTGATCATAAAGGTTTCGATATCATGATCTGCAATCGCATTTACAATCACTAGAACAACGAGCTATGGTAAATATTGAAGCGTCAGTAGCCTAATGGCAGGGCGCGGACCGTGAACTTGAAAGGTCGTGGGTTCGAACCCGCCATTCGACTACTGTCGTGAACCACTTATAACACAAGCATTTTAAGCTTACCAGAAGTGATTAAAGGGAATATTAGTAATGTTTAATAGCATTACTAGTATTTTGTTTATTTAAAAAAAAAAATATCTGTCCTATGAGGCAATCTATGGGAGGGGCCATGTTCAGCGGTGGACTTTTGATAAACTGTAATGAAAGAATAAATTAAACAGATAATGACTGACTAGGTTCTTTTATAGCTTCTGCCCAAGACTCCACTCGCATGGAATTCTGTTTCTACGGCGTATTAATTTCCAGAAGTAAGTTTTTTCTACGTACATGTTGTGTAGATACGTGGTAGAGCCATGCTGCAGCTTTATTAGTAGTATAGTTGTAACATGAATGGGTCGGCTCGACCGGGTACGGTCCACGCTCTCACAGACTACCAGCCTAAAATGACAGTTTAACACTGCTGTGTTCCGTATGGTGAGTGTAGAGAACCGGAGACCCATTTTACTGGAAAAGAGGGATTCCATCTTAGTCATCACGGGTGACGACGCATCTGCATTTTGATTCTTTATTGAGGATAAATGTAAATGTCTATGAGTCACAGCATTCACTTACCATCAGGTAGACTGTGTGCTCGTTTGTCATCTTATAAAAAAAAGGTCAAAAAATATGCGTATTATTTAATTCAAGTCCGTGTAGTCGTTTATACACATTAGAGTAATAAACATCCAACCACTTTCACAAACTTTCAAAGCACGTATAACATTAGCATGGTTTTCGCAACTCATAGATGTAATGTAAATGTAAAAAAAATTATATAGATAGGTACTTTACATGGTAGGACCATGCTCCAACTATATTATGGTTGTAGCGCGAATGGATCAACTCGACGGGGGAAGGACCACGCTCTCACAGAATACCAACGTAAAATAGCAGTTTAATGCTGCTGCGTTTCGTTTGATGAGTGTAGAGAACCGGAGACCCGTTTTACTGGAAACGAGGCATTCCATCTTAGTCCTCGGGAGTGACAACGCAACTGCATTTTGATTTGACATCTTCAGGATAGATGATGTCTTTGGGTCACAGCATAACACTTAATTAAAAATGGAAATTAATAAATGATTTCCTCATATCCGTAAGCTAATTGTAGTGTGACTGTGGAGTTATTAATAAATGAGTTAATTATTACTTAATTATTATTAATCCTTTCCCCGTCCCATTAATCATATATGAATATTTCTAATGTTTCTTGTTTTTAATGTTTTTATTTGCTTAATTTCATTTTTCTACTGATAATTTATAAAACTTCTCGAAGATTATGAAATATTTGTTCCAGAAACCACTTTCTTAACAGCTAACGTAGCATTTAATTTATTCCCCAGGAGTACAATCTGTATTTGATTCCTTATTACTTCGCTCGCGTGGTTTAGTAACAGAAACAGAAACTTTTTTATTCAATATAGATTATAAATAATGCTTATTGAAAGTCACTCTTTTGTTTAATTACCACTGGTTCGAAAAAAACCTCTGTCCTGGTCCTGGGAAGAACCAGCAAGAAACCCAGCGGGACTTTTTTTTTAAATAACAGCTTACTAACCATGTATGTTACACAAATTAACAACACAACAAATTAGAAATAGCTTGGTAGCGATCACCTCATTTCCAGGGGTTATTATCATCCATAAATTCTTTAATTACCTAATATTAAAGAATAACCCTTTTTATACAAACTTAGTTTAATAAAATTTTTGAACTTTGAGCAGGTCAAATTTTGTATATTTTCTGGAATTTTGTTGTAAAAGCGTATACATTGCCCCAAGAATGAATTACTGACTCGATGGAGTCGAGTACTACTAGCTTGTGTCTGTTCCTTGTATTTACAGAATGAAATACACTTATTTTTGTAAAACTACTTCTATTTTTGTGTACGTATATTACATTTTCATAATTGTATTGAAAGGAAAAAGTTAATATACTAATTTCCTTAAATTTTTGTCGCAGCGACTCTTTAGGCTTTAAATCATAAATTGCTCTTATGGCCTTCTTCTGTAAAACTTCAGTGTCAGCTGCATGTCCCCATAGCAAAATACCATACGACATTATGCTATGGAAATAGCTAAAGTAAACTAGTCTAGCTGTTTCAACACTGGTAAGACTTCTAATCTTTTTTACAGCATATGCTGCAGAACTAAGTCTGCTTGCTAGTTTTGATATATGGGGGCTCCATTGAAGCTTTGCGTCTAGTGTGATTCCAAGAAAAATGGTGGTATCTACAAGACTCAGTTTCTCCCCATTTAAAATTACATTAGTATTTAATTGTTTGACATTTCATGCCATTTCTACAGTTCACTCAACAGAGAGGCTCACAATATCTTTACGTTCTTTACACGATAATAATTTACTAGCTAATATTAAGGAGCCATCTCTTAAAACCGTTTCTCTATTGAAAGAATAAGTTATAAGCTTCTAACCAATGTTCAGTAATACATAAAATATGAATATTGTTGCTATATAAGAACAACTCAAGGCACCCTCAGGTGAAGTAGACTCTGCGGAGGCTACACTACACTAGGCAAGACACACCACTGACGATAATACGACACGTGTTTCGCCTCTACACGAGCCATCCTCAGGTGATATAGACTCTACGGTGATATCCTACTCAATTCGAGTGTATGTTTTTTTTGTATGTATGTAACGCTATATTTTCGCAGATTGTGAACCAATTTTAATGATTCTCTTTTTATTAAAAAGGTTATTATTCAAAGGTGGTCCTGGTGGTGGTAGGAAATAAATAACTTCTTTTTTAGTAAGTTGAAGCCGGTTTTCAATTTCTGTTAAAAGTTATAATTGTTATTATTCCTCTACCCAATAAGTAACGGACTTTAATCATAATGCGCGGTAAACTTAATTATTTCAATAGTTTTTATCATATTGCCTACTCATATTGGCTATTTTTAAAATTGTCTGGACTTTATAAATAACATCCTATTAATCATTTAGTCCATAACATATAGATAATTCATGATTATGAACAGAATATGTATATTAAGGCCACGATCCAAATGTCACGATAAATACTGAGCATTTAGCGTTCGAAATTTAAAAGCTGACAAACGAACTTAATGTCCACTTGATGACAAGATACGTTATCATCTCTGAGGACAGACGGAACGCTAAATACAAAAGAGTTCATTATGAAAGAAAAATCAAACAGGCTTTGCGCCCTCTCCGCTCGCCTCGCCTACCTGGCCAAAACCCTTCGAGTAAAGACTTCTTCGGGCTTCAAGGTTGGATGTAGGTATGTTCCTTGTTCTAAAATTCTCCCCGCTTTAGTGCTTTTTGCTCGACAATTGCGGAGAGTGAGTAGCATTTTCATTCATATACATCGTACTGCAAAACTAAATAAGCATAAGCATGCATTATTTGTAATATATGAAGCGGTGTCGCAAAATCTACAAACAAAAATAGAATACAAGAATTTATTTTTTACGTAGAATACAAATAATCTTTTTAATCAGGATTTATACGAGATAAACAAGGAAATAAGTACCTACATGACGATAAAACCTAAGTATATCTATAAATACATAAAATTAATATTGTAATATTGAAATAACTGACTTCTATTAAACTCAAGGGATTATTTGCATGCTATTAAAACATAAACATTTTTAAAAGTTTTGTCGTACTGTCTATCTTCCCGGGCTAATGTTCGGAATGTGTGAACCGATTGTGTTGAAACTTTACAAACAGATATAGAGCGATGCCAGGAGAGATCTAGGCTATATTTTATCCGGCAAACTTAGAGATTTTAAAAAAATGATCTTCGACATCTCAAATCTAAATAACAATAGATCCTATCCCATCCAGGCGAAGTCAGGGGTGGCTAGATAGCGTTAAAACAAACTTGCAGCCATTTCTAAAAGCATTAACACACTTACTTTATTAAAAACAAACCCGTTTAATTACTCGGTATCCTTCAAATCCCATATGGAATTTATAGTCAACGATCTCAACTGGCTAAAGAATGTATTATAAGTACTTAATTGCATATATTTCATCGATTTATTTCAATGCAATTGCAAATAGAAGTAACCTTTTTTTTAATGTCACAGCACTAAGAACGATGCAAATAAACTTTAGCTAAGTCTTCACTAATGCTTTGTCATAATTTTTTTACTTATTAAATAATTAATAATCCCACCCGGTGGTAATGAAGCCGTAGATGGTAAATCACACAGAAGTCCTATTCACCTATTTCTACCTATTATTTTACCCTTTCGCTGTCCCGTGTCCTACATATATGTAGGTCATTGGGTCATAGTTATTGTCTTACTAATAAGTCTGAAAATCGAACAGTGAAAGTGTTAAACTAGATATCTTCAAAAGACTTCAAAGTTATGTTTGTGAAACGTAAATGTGAACTAAGTCGGTAAAAATAATGATTTATAATCTAAAGGAAATGTACAAAACTGAATTCAATTCTGCTTATCATCAAACTGTTAAATTCGAATGAGAACATTTCTAATAATAGTGTATGAGCACGCGCATGTTATTGCGTAGTAAATACTCGTATTATTTTTTGTGGTTTTGATAATGCAGGTTAATAACAATGCAGCTAATAACAATGCTTCTTAGATCTTAAAAGTCGGTAATCAAAAGTTACGATATTCATAATTTTTATATATATTTTTTATTACATATATGATTTAGTAAACGACCATAAGCAATCTAGCGTCTATACACGAGCAACCCGGATACGATCCCCGCCGGCACCAAAGTGCTGATTTACCATGTGCTCGACGATGAAGGATAACATCGTAAGGAAACCTGCTTGCCTGCGAAATTAAAAAAAAAATATTTTGGGGACATGTGAAGTCTGCCGTATTGGCACGGTGGATACGTCTCCGTCGACTCCTTGCGGGTAGATCTTAAGTAGAACGTGGACTAGACAAAGGTTATGTGTAACGTCCATGTCATACTTATGTCGGTTACTGTCGGAATCACTACGCGAGAAGTTGTTGACTAAACTAATTTTGGCCAAGAGGCCAATCAACAGCTCCAAAACGGCTGGGCAGCATTCGGTAGCTTGCGACACATCGCTTCATAATCGTAATTCACACGGATTTCCATTTGGCACGATCCTGACACATCTCTCTCGCCTCCTTTACATCCATATATCATAATAAACGCATACATGCTCGTAGGTTAAAGGTACACTCTTAATATGGCCAACCAATTTGGTCGATAAACTTTCGTCTAGTGCGTCCCTTGTCGACTTTGCCTTCCTCTATACTGCCGCGAAATTTTGCTTTGACACTCTTTCCTTGCTCATTCTTTCTACATGACCAAACTACCGAAACATTCCTTTCTTAATCCTGTTCACTACATTATCTTCCAAACCACACTTTTCTTTTATCACACAATTTCTCACCCTGTCATTCAGATTCAAAACTATCATACTCCTTAATGACCGCATTTCTAAAACATTTATTCTACATTCGTGCTTCTTCTGCCACGCTCAACTTTCACTTCAATACATTAAGGTATGTACATCGCTTCATGTATTTCTCATAACTTAAAAAAAAAACATGATTGCGTTCCTAATTTTCAAACACATTCCTAATTTCCAATTTCATTTACGGCTGGCCTCGACGAGATTTTAAGGGGGCTTTGCTCGCAGTCTCTATACGTGATAATGTGCGTAATTAGGATATCCACAGAAGAACAACAGTAACAGCCCAAATATACAAATAAACTAAGCACAGCCCAAAGGATCGGTAAGCTGACGTGGCAATGGGCCGGCCATATAGCCCGAAGAACCGACATAAATAGGATATAAATAAAATGAAAATTTATAGGAAGTAAGATAGGAAATAAAAATTCTCAACTGGTAGTCTAGTACAGGTAAACAAAGTGTAGGTCGGCCCCTTACTAAATGAAGTGACAACTGGAAAGATATGCCACCTGCATCCATCGACTTGGAGTTGGCTTAGGATCGCATTTCGTGGCATTTTTGGGGTTGATCTATATTCAGAAATTGATTCGTGACAGGCTGTTATGAATTATGATGTTCAGTGATATTTTTATTATACTACTAGCTGTTCTCCGCGCCTTCGCTCGCGTGTAATTTAGGGATTTAATTTTTTTGAGCGGAACCCTAACTCTTTTTCTAAAATAAAAGTAGCCTAAGTTACTCCTTATAACATCAGCTATCTGCCAGTGAAAGTCCCGTCAAAATCGGTCCAGCCATTTTGGAGATTAGCCGGAACAAACAGGCAGACGTCAGACGTCTAGACAGACAGACAAAAATTAGAAAAAACTGTATTTTTGTTATAAGTACAATATATACGTTCATATATGCATGTAGTAAAAAGCTGTTATTTTGACATTACAAACAGACACTTCATTTTTATTTATTTGTGTAGATATACCTATTTGAATGCACCTTTTATGCAACTTGTTTATCGTATTGGTTAAAATTTAAAAATAGAAGAGACCTGCAGCAATTTTTTTTTTAATTTAGGTAGTTACTATAAATAAGCATCGTTCTGATGCAGATTAAAATTTGTATTTTAATCCGCAATTGTATAAAATCTGATTCGCTATATAAACCTCCTTTCTTTTTTTTCTGAATTGGGTCTCCAGTATCGTAACTCAACTCCGGAATTAAAAATCTTTTGATATTGTATGCCCAATTGGAGATTGCGATGTCAGTCGTCGTACACCTTTTAGGCTGCATCGTCTTTAGTCTAGTTTTTTTTTTTAATCTACAATATACACAAACTTGCAGTGGTAGCGCCAAAAAACTTAAGTTTTTTTTAATGTGTGTGTCTCGTCTGATAGATTCTCTTCTAGTCATACCATCATTACTTGGTATATAGACGACACTAGATATAAATAACACAGGGCATACTAGTTATAAGTATAGTGGCGGTGTAAGAATGTTCAACACCCCTTACCATCTTGTGGGTGTCGTAAGAGGCAAAAGAGGAAAATGAAACAGAAGATTTGCAGCAACATATTCCTGATAACAAGTCAATTAATAAAAATCTGCAGTTGCTTGCTTGTCTGTCAAGTGTGACGAGTAAGGAAAATATCCCGTGTATGAGGCAATCTATGTTGGAGGCCTAACCCTTTTTACTGGAAATTAGGCGTTACATCTTATTCCTCAAGATCCTTAATCTGCATTCACACAATGAGCAAACAATCCACCATCAGGTGGATTGTTTGCTCATCTGTCATAAATGATTGTATAAAAAAACTGCATCCACACTTGAAAAAATAATGTGTTTGTGCAAATGTTTGTTCTAGCCAGTATTTGAACAGTGGCAAAGGAGCTGGTACTCTGACCACTAGGCCCCTGTGTAGTTTACTTATTTACTTCATATAAATGTAAATAGAGACATACATTTGACTTTGTAACTTAACTCTTACCAAGTCTTACAATTAAGAAATATACCCTTGAAACAATTGCCTATTTTAAATATTGTTGATCCAACTGAAAATACCTTTTACCTTTTACAAGGCTCAAGGTGAAAAGGTAAAATTTATGCTAATATAAGTAATAATGGATTTTATTAAAAAAATGTAACAATAAAAATCCAACATTTAAAAACAATTTATATTAGAGCTGCAATATTATTTTTCAAACAATCACAGAGTTGTCAAATTTTGAAGACATTATTTGTTCGTTAAAGCTTTATTAATCTAATTTACAGCACCATGACAATATAAATTGTCATATAATAAATATATACATGCATTAATTTAACTTTGCTAGCTTTTCGTCTTGTGTACTTACAACCATACTAAATAATTAACATGAAAATGTTAATAAAGCATTAAAAGTTAATTATTTTACATTATTTACATATCAAACAAAGAATCTATTGTATTGTTAAAAAAGTTATGCAACAAATTTATCTATGTCATATTCTACATTTGAAACTGTGTCATCAGGTTCATCAATCTTGCTTTTCTTTCTGTCTTCGATTCGCAAGCATTTTAGGCACTTTTGTCCTTTCCTCAGCCAGCATCCTCTATGATACATTGAGTTGCATTTATCACACATTATAGCTCCACTATCAAATGGATACAATATTTCATTATTACTGCACACTTCACATAAGTATCCTTTCCCCGAACATAGTGAGCAACTTGTTATGTGTGACCGACATATCTCTGTCAACTCTGTCAACTGAGTTTCTAATGTGCCATCATTAATAGCCTGTAAATGTGCCATACTGTACTTCTTATTAACGTCTCCAAGCTGTATAAATAATGGAGACAGTAATGAGCTTCCTTCTCCACAAGCACAGAGATATCGCTTCATCCATTCCAAGTCTTTCCGCATCTTATGGACCCATTCCAACTCAGCTATAAAACTAAACAAGCTTGAATTTATGTTTTCAACATCTATATATGGTCTTGTCCAAGACAATGTCAACATTTGAAATGCAATTCTTGAAATGTACCTCTTATCCCAGTCCCAATTGTGGACAACTCTTGCAGGTATTGGAGATAAATCATTCCAGTGGCATGTTGCACAAAAATACAACCCAGTGTAGTCACATAGCCTTGGTTCATTCCATGAATCTTTAAAGGTTAATGCAGAATGACATTCAGCGCACTTGTAATCTTGAGCAGAGAGACCTTTTTCAGGACAAATATTCATTTCAAATTGTCCTTTCTCTGTCATAACAACATGGGCACAAACTCTACAAATATCGTCTACACATTTGTAGTGACATAAATAACCACAGTCTGTGCAAATGTATGAGCACTGAACGATACTCCATATTACACCGCTGCAATGGTCACAGTATTGCTTTCTGTTACTCGGGTTAACTTGTTGCTCAAAGTGATGGCCTTTGATCACTACTCTGACCCTTTGCTCTCCTTCATTGTCTTTCAAATCTTCTAAACGCAACCTTAATTCAACTAAATATCGGACTAACCATTTACGTTCATCTGAACATTGAGCGCTGTTCAGTACAAGCTCCTTGCACTGTTTTATTGCCTTTTCTATTTCTTCTTGTGTTGCAGAACTGTGGATTTTAAGTTTCTTGTTTGTAATTGACTTAGGCATGTAATTCGAATCGTAACTTTCGTCTGCTGACACACATCCTGACGTAGAGGATGATGAGGCAGTTCTTGAAGTAACATCTGCACTCCGCGGGCTACAGCAAATCAAACTGTTACGATATTTGGGCGAGTCGTTCGCCAAGGCTGCGGCCATGGTAATCCACACAATAATTGTTTTAATACGTTTATTAATATCGTGAAAACTTTATCTTAACATCGTAACGGCACTTCATCTATAACAGCGATACAACACTTTATAATTAAAAGTTCATTCAAATTTAACAAATTCTAATTGCGTTGCATGCTACTCTTTTTCTTTGTTTTGAACGGGAACAAAATCACTGGTGAGATCATTGTTGAATTTTACGATGACACTGACAGGTGACAGCTGAGCTGAGACTATTTTTTTTTTCTAAAAGCATGATAGTGTTGCCAGTACTTTTTATTTTTCTTCCTCTGTGATTTTAATAAATCTCTCCCTAATACGACAGAATAGTATCAGTGCCAGATAACTTTTTTAAACGAAACTTAAATGAATATCAACACTGCTGTATATTAATGACTTTCTTATGCTTGGCATCTATGCATCTAGCTTGCACGTGCACTAACCACTAAATGATCGTAGGCAAGAAGGTACATAGCGTTAAATCTGTTAAACTTGAATTTGTGTATTTTTTTAATTCGTTATCATGAGATTTTTTTTTTAACTTTTTATAATATTTAGTGGACTTTTATAATTCTTAAGCATTTTTGTTAAATTTAGAGCCAAAGCTACTAAAACCCTTTAAACAGACTTAGTAAAAATATATTTTGAAAATAAAGTTCCTTCCAGAATTAATATTAATATAATTTGAATAAAATTCTTTTAAAGACTTACTGAAGTTTTTATATTTTTATTCATTAATAGAACTACAAGGAGTGAATTTCATTTTTAATATTTAAATACTATAAATACAAGCTTTTCCCTTGATATTATCATCAACTGCATGCAGTGTACAGATACTTTCTATTGTTTGTAACTAATGGTGAAAATGTATCCAACAACATTGACCTCAAATTATACAATTTCAGTTATCAATCGGGTTAGCATCTGGTGTCCAGTTTAATCCTTAGAACACTCATATTTGTAACTTTGACACTAAAAAGAAAACCCTCGTCGTATCACCTCATATGGAATCTACATTCAACGATATGAATTAGGGATCTTAAAAAAAGCTTTAGATTCGACAAACTTAAATTTGATTCGATAAAATTGTTAAAACAAGCAAACAAAGAATAGAATACAACAGTTTATTTGATGGTTTAAAAGTAAGCACCTGTGATTCATGTAATGTTGCAGATGTGTGTCTACAACGGAAATTATTAATTACTAGCTATGCCCCGCGGTTTCACCCGCGTACATCACGCATCTGCGCCTTGCGACATGCGAATTTTGAGAGTGACATCACGACGGACGGTTTCTGAATTAACAAAGATTTAAAAAGTGAGATATGTTACTAAAATTACATGGTTAACGTAATTGGTGGTTATGCATGATACAGGTACTGATACGAATAATGTAGCCTAGTTTGTACCGGCGTTACTATTTCACATTTTAACATGAAAAAGTAGTTATTGTGACGTAACTGTAATAGTTAAACATATGGTACCGTAGACGTTTTTATAGATATTGATATCCTCTATAAAACTGAAGCACAATACTTTGCTCTATTATCAATAGTTTCCGCAGCGTACGCGATATAAGGATTCTTTTTGGTATTTTTTCACACCTTGGGTTACATTAAGGAAGTTTTTATACGGATCCCTAACTTTTTGAAAATATTATATAGCCTATGTTCATCAGGGATAATGTAGGATTCTAATGGTGAAAGAATTTTTCAAATCGGTCCATTAGTTTCGGAGCCTATTCAATTCAAACAAACAAACAAACAAACAAATCTCTCCTCTTTATAATAGTAGTGTAGATTAGATGAGCTGTATACTCATTAGCATACTAATAAAAAAAACTATTGAAAGAAAATTAATTTAAAATAGGTGCGTGTCAGCTGCGATGCGCGTTTGAGTTTTACTCCTTAGATTTCATTCATATCTTCATATCAAATCAGTCGTGCTTAGACCATCTAATACCTATTTTTCGTAGCACTGTCACTTTGAGGGTCAAGTCTATCTATAAGGGCACCGACGACTTTCTACCACTATGGCGGCACCACTTTGGGATGTGGTGAAATATTTGACAGATCTTATAGTAGGGAAGTCAAGTTGTAAGAAAAGTGTAAAATATAATGTTTCTTTCTGAAATATTACTTATATTTTGTATTCATCAGGTTAAAAATGGATAAATCAAACTTCGGAAAATCCTAAAAGAAGAAGAATTAAGAAAGTCCAAATGTGTAAAAAACTTAATAACACACTACTGAGGTATTGTTTTGTGTATCTAAATACAACTGAAAAGCTTTTTTTTAACAGCAACTTTTCAATAATGACGACACTACATATGTGACCATTAACGTGACAAATAAGCTCACTCTTGTCCCACCTAGCGATATCTGATTAGCGTAAGATTCCTCAGTTATTTGATAAAATGACCCACTACAACTAGAATGAAGTATTTGGCGCTATTACTTTACACACATTCAGTATAAGATGCGCGAATATATTGCGCGGAGGGGCTACGTAACGACTTCACTTTTTGTTAACACTCCATTTCACTCTCCACGTAGTTTTGGTATCGCGGGCTATATACTAAAATCGATTTTTAGGAACTTCAAAATTAGTATTATTTTCATTTTAAATAAAAATTGAAATTTACTGGATTTTAAGCTTGATTATATTCCAAATTGCAATTGTAGGGGACTTGCAAGTAAAAAATATATAATATAAACATTCAATTATACAAACGCACATGCATTTTAGGTATCACACTTTACACCACGAACATAAAACCATACTTACTATAGTTCTTACCACTTGATAGAAGTTTTGTAGGTTCGATCCCGCCATTCTCATCATTACCAAATAAATGTGGCATTTCGTCATTTAATTCGAAAAACATAAAATTTTTAATTGAATATACAATATAATAGGTACTATATTTTAAAATTGTCATTCGTTTAAAATCCTTCTATTACCCCGGTGCTATAACTTTTCCCTAAATTTAAGGTAAGGACTTCATGTTAACAACTCTGTGATATGACTGTTTTAAGTGGCAGTAACATATCGAAACAATTTTGTTTCACGATGTTGGTATTCTATAGACTTAGAATATATTGGCGTAAGTCTATGTGATGCTCGATATTAAGGGCGGCTACTCACTTGCCTGCCGAAGGGGCAATCTAGGGTATAGGAGTGGAGATGACACTTAATTGCCTCTTTAATTGTGATGTGTGTATGCATGCAGGAGTAATATCCTAAGTCGGCCCTGCGGCAGGGCGGCAGGGGCGCAAGACCTTCCTTGCTCTCTAGATCATATCTGCTGCTGCCGCGTCTGTAGCGCAATTAGGGCAATTTCAATCATTCGTTGCGACTTTCGAGCGGATCACACGTGTGAGTACAAGTCACAATGGATACCAATAAAGAATGTGAAATTTGGACACTGGTGATGGAAGTGCATAAAGGGCGGCTTCTTCACCCAGTATTTCCTTTTTGTCTTTTTTTGTGGTAGCACCACAGAAAGAACGTTATTTGAACGTGGTAACGTTTTTAAACGTATTATGGTTGTAATTATTAATTAGTTGTTTTATCGATAAATAATAATAATAATAAAGATTTTTATTTTTCTCAATTCACACATGGTTGTTAAAAGTGTACAAAAAAGATTATCACAAACTTATCTTAGAAATATACTTAGGTAACATAAAACAATGAGATAAACTGGCCTGTGACTCAGCTATATGGTGATTTGAGGTCACCGCTGGTATTCTGCCACAGCCGACTTTTAACAAACACAGTATCTTAACCTAATTTTGGCATTGACGTAAAACAACGTAAAGAAAATACTGAAATGTATACTCATATGTACTATGCAAATTAGCAATTTTATATATTATAATACTTAATACCTGCCTCCAATTTTGTTGTTCAAGAAACCATACTTTGCATTTCTTTCTAAATGATTTTGTATTCACGATCTCCTGCAAGCATATTTGAAATATCCTTTCGCTTTTACACACTTATAAGTTGGAAGTATATATAGTAGTTTAGCTTACCCCTTCGTCTCAAACGTGTTAGTTGACATTTTGGAGATAATTTTTCATATAAATAATAAGGAGATTGGGAACAATTTAATGAGTGTACGAAACAAGCATATTTTAGTTTTCTGGTGTAACCCATACCTAAAATATTATTTTTGAGTACATAAGAAGTTATGTGGTTAGTCTTAGGTATGTCAAAACAATAACGCATACACGCATTTTGAACCAATATACCAAGTCGCAATAATGTTAATGTGACAAGACCAGACTGTTGCAAAGACGGAGCCGGATATTTGGTTTTAGAAAAGAACGAATGTTGTAAAGATATTTTAAAGACCCAAAAAATTTTGCATGACCCAATTTTTTGCTGTACGTGTTGTGCAAACGTTTATTTTTTTATATTCTACTAAGCCAGCGCTTATCTACGATTCCATCTGACGGTAAGAGGTGATGTAGCCTAAGATGGTGAAGCGCACTGACTTAACAAAAGCCTTAAACCTTCATCCATGTTAAGACCTAAGTTACGAATGCAATCATCTCGAGGAATAGTTGTGCCACTGATCATGATAGATGGATCAATTTTTTGATAGATGCAACCTGATGACGTGTACCCATAATTATATAAGTGCTTTTTTTTAGGATTCAGTAGTAGGCCATGAGACTGATCAATGCTCTATTAATTTTAAATCCTCATTGAGGCTGGTAACCGCTGTTGTAATACTGTCGTTTTTTTATGACTATGGACGTACAATTGGGTGTCATCGGCATAAAGGCGATATTTGGAGTGATGAACTATATTTTTTATGTCTGCTGTGTATATGGCGAAGAGTGTTGGGCCAAGAATGGTCTTTGTATAACGCCTTTAGAAATTGATAGGGACTCCGAAATATCAGCGGTACCTTCAGTATTGATACATTTTTCTTCTTGACTCCGCCCGCATAAGTAAGACTGAAACCACGAACATGCCATTTCAGAAAAACCAACGTTTTTTAGTCCAGCCAGGTGTACATTCTAATCTTTCATAATGAACGGCAGGCATGTGTGTAAAGACAGTTCTGATATTGCTCCGATCGCTGTGCACCCTATATTGCCCCTGCGGCAGGCAAGTGAGTAGCCGCCTTAATGTTTCGTTGTACCAGTTTTTTATTTGCTCCGTGGTTATACGAGTACGTAATGTTCCATTTTAAAGTACCTTATTATTTATTCTGCTAAGTTTATAAAATATCCATAGATTATTTTAAATTGGAGAAAAGTTTTCAATTGTGACTATTCTATAGAGGCAGAAAATATCACATAGGCAATAAAACTTGTCATGTGAAATTTTCTATTTTCTGACACTAATTCTGTAATAAAACGGTTTTCAAAAATGAAAAAGAATTATAAAGGACTTTCTCTCATTGATAAAAACGAATTATTTATTCCTCTAATACAGGCTGTTTAGTCAGTCCACTGCTGAACACAAGCCTCCTATATAGAGCCTCATGGTGGATTTCATCATAGTTGCTACGCTTGGCAAGCGAGTTGGCAACCGCAGTTTTTTGTTATTTTGAGTTATTAACAGGAAGATGCTGCTGCCCATCTCCTGTTTCCATGATATGGGGTAGCGGATATTCTTACACCGCCACGACACGATAAGTAAGTATATATTATAGACCTGACAAACCGGTAGCCTAGAGCTAGAAATTTTATAGTTTTGCAAATATTCAGCAGTTTATTTATTTATTGTATCACGACACTTATATTCTCCGGTGGTGCGATTTAATGACTGAAGGATATATTATGAAATACTTACATTGTCCTAATTTTACTGTGGTATTATATCATTTTAAATCAGAAATTTTTGTTATAATATCAGACAAGTAGTGATTTCTTATACTTATTTACGTGAACACTACACATTGAATAAAACTACTATTACGGATTCTCTCGTTTAATTATCTTATTTTTATTAAATTCACGACGTTTCGGGTGCTTTACAGCACCCATGATCACGAGGGACTGAGGTGATTGATATCTCGATGTCAAAGTTAACCCGGAGTACCTTCAGCTTTTCTAATTATTAGTTTTGGTCCGATCTATGCAGAATGAACTTACCGTGTCTTGAAGTGTTGCAGTGGTACGCTTGGGTTTAGTTTTAATTTTATTAATTACATGATCCTAAGCAGGTGGTAGTACCCAGCCTCCCTCTCTATAGAAGGAGGGTCGGGAATTTAATAAAATGAAGTTAATTAAACGCGACAGAATCCATAAAAGTAGTTTTAATCAATCAGACAAGAACACAACAAAAACTGCCGACAACAAGGACCCTGTTGGTTAAATATATTAATAGAACTAGGTATACTTAATAACACTGAGTAGTTGATATAAAAAATAAAAGTACAGAAAAAATAAAGACCAATCATGGTTCCCGATACCACAAACTGGCTGAGCAGACGTTTTTCTGCCCTTTCCAATAGATTTTCATTCGGACGACGGAACGGAGTTTCATTCCGTAATTTTGACACTGTAACTCCACCGCACCACTTATCGGGTACAGATTTCATCGTTTTTGGCACTAAACCTTTTATTAAATTATGAAATTATTTTGACCTTTAAATACATAAACAACTGAAGAATAGATTGACTATTTAAAATAGCGCTTTAATAACGACACACTAACGATTATATATAACAAAGATCGTCATATTTTTCAACTGTTTCTTTAGATGGTAAGTAATATTTTCAATCGAGCTATCCTGTGTCTAATGTAATTTTTGATTATTTTCAGAGTCGCTATTTCGAATGCGACGATAGCAGTGAGGGTTACAGTTCTGATGAGAGTGAGTACACGCCACCTTACACTCTCCAAGCTGAACCTCTTGTGGAACATGATCACGAGGATTCTGATGATGAAGTAGGTTTTAACTTTTTTAAAATTGGATACTAAAATATGCGAAAATCAGAGTCTTTTATAGATAAGTTAATTAAGTTACAGCCTATATACGTCCCACTGCTGGGCACAGGCCTCCTCTCATTTCTGAGAGGGTTTTTAGGGCAAGGAAATGTCCGCCGCGCTGCCCCAATGCGTGTTGGCGAACTTCACATCTCTTCCAAATATTTTTTTTTATTTCTCAGACATGCAGGTTTCCTGACGATGTTTTCCTTGATCGCCGAGCAGGTGGTAAAACATCACTTAAAATTGCAATTAACAAAGCGGCGGAGATAAAACCCGGGTCGCTCGCGTACTGTGAAACTTATAGCGAGCGCTAACCATCTGAGCTACCAAGGATCCTTATAGATTGAATAAAACTAATTTTACATGTCTTATCTTGATTAGACTATACGGTATGTAATCGCGTTCTGCGTAGATCAGACCAAAAATTAATCTTTAAAAGCTAAAGTTAGCCGGAATTAATCATATCATCAGAACATTGAACACCTCAGTCCTCTGTCCTTCCGTGATTTGACATAACCATGGATTGAAATTAAAACGAAAAAGCCGTAAAATTGGTTTTATTCAATACGTTATATTACATACTACAAATTACGAGAATAGGTACTGTAAATATAGGAAATCATTATCTCTTACAGGTGTTTGTAAATTCAGTGCCGGGTGACAATACATCAACCGATTTTCTAATTGAAGGGAAGGAAAAAATGTCGGTTTCATCCGACACGTTGGATGATGAGGAAGCAAATCTTGACTTTGAAGTGGCCGCCGGGACTCCAATTCTATTTAACTTTTTGCTTACACACCCTATTACTTGCGTTATTCAATAGATACAGCTATAATATACATATATCCTCGTGAATGATCATCGTCAGGGAAAGCATATATCATGGCTAAAGGGCGCATGTGTCGGTTTGACAGTAATAGGATCACGCTGTCACTAAATACCAAGTAATACAGTTGTGTTTCGTATGGTGAGTATAGAAAACCGGAGGCTCTATTTACTGGTAACGGGGCATTTCGCCTTAGTGCTCAGGCCCTCAGGGAGACGACATTCACTTACCGGTGGCTTTTTTCAATATGGATTAAACGGATTGCTGTTCAAAATGCCGATGTGTTAAGAATTTCTAGCAAAAAAGATTACTGTGCATGTTAGCACACGTTATGGTTAACGTTCATAATCCGTGCCGATTTTGCTATTCATGTTACCAGAGGTTTTTTTTTGAAACAAAACCTATTGGAGTTGATTGTGAAATACAATCGTAATTACAATTAATCAGATTTGAATGAATGACACGTTCAATTGCACGTAACATTGACCTAATTATTGTATTTTATCCAGTACACTTGCATACAATATACTTTTAGTTTTTATTGTGTTCCGAACAAAATGGTGCTTATTGCTTAATGAAGAAATTTGAGGTATCTACGAGTAAATGTATGCGAAACATTGAAAAAATAATGGTGGTGGGTTATTATAATTATTCTGTTGAAATATATGTGCAGAAAATTGTTATTTAGTGTAAAATGAAATATGTACTTCGTAGTCTTTACCCAAATATATTTAATAAATCAGTCATTGTAATTATAATTATTTTAAAATTTATAGCAATACTTAGTTGTAATACGGCGTACTCTTTAGCGTTAATCCACTGAATGCAGCTCAGCACGTCCACACGACTAATGTGTGGCTATACCAATTATATGAAACTGTATAAATATATGACACATGTGTTACCCGCACGCATTTAGTGTTCACCGGCCACAAAGAAAAATAAAATTTAAAGTAAACTTTTTGCGAAATCACCTAGTACGTTTCTAATAGCTCTATTAATATGTGTTATAGTGTAAGGTTGTGGTCACAGCTTTATGTTGAGTTGGACTACTTCACATTGACAGTACGCATCTCACAATCTTAACCCTAATTATAAATTTTATCATAGCTACTTTTTATCTCTTTGTATTGTGTACTGTTTCTCTGTGAATAAGTGTTATAAGTATCTATCGCTCTTAAAGATATTGAAAATTAATTTGCTTATATCCGCAGGTGCTCTGAAAACTACACTACAAGCAAATTAATTTTCAAGCTTTTTAATATAATGGATTTCCGCAAAGTAACGCCTGATTCTATAAATTATTCATCTATCTATTTCATATTGAGATATATTATAGGACTCAAAAATATTTACTCTGACAACATTGACGTACGTAATTCAACTGACTTCTTAAAATAGCTATTCATATTACACCCTTATTATAGTATTAATAATTAGTTATATGTTTGTTTCAATTTTAATTAATTTAAATTGCACAAATAATGAAATAATATGTGATATATATAAGTGACTATTGTTATTTTGATTTATGTATTTTGTAATGTAAAAGAGATAATTTTATATTTAGTTCTAAACAACTTTTTAAGGATATTAATTATTAAGGGCATTTAAATAGTTGTAATAACAATTACTATTACACAATATTTAAGAAACAAATTAAATTAGTACCTGCGTAAAGTTAAGTCATAGTTTTGTTTTCATTTACTATAAAATAAGTAACAACGGCCTTACGCATAAAATCCCTTCATAAAGGTTTACAGATAATTATTACTCATTAGTAAGCGAATAATAGTAGGAGTTTATACTATTTTTCACGTCATACGTCTTAATACAATACGAGCAATATTTGACTGACCAGAGCGAGTTGCTTATTTGATTTTGACATCAAAATTCCCGGACTGAAAACGCTTGAACCAACTTTACCGACACTGCATTAGGTCCATAAACGTCATCGATTTTCAATTCGCCGATTTTTTTCGTGGCTTGAGTCGCATTTTCCCTTTTTTGTAATAAAACTTCAGAATGTATCGATACTCTGTCTGTGGCAGTCTCTCTCAGACCGTTGACCGTTGTCTTTATCGGTTGTGTATTTATTTAGATCATTCAGGTGATTCAGGTACAGCGTGACCCTATTCTTTTAACTTCTTGCTGCCAAGATATCCTCTGAAGTGACAATTCTTACATGCAAGAGTATTTATCCACTTAATCAAAAGGCGTCTAAACAGAGAGGGATTAAAGAAGGAATTCCAAATATTATGCGAAATTATTATTCATTTATTTTTATAATGAAGTATTACAATTTCCATTGCGGGACCGGTGGCCGTCTTACTCTTTATTGCTATTATTTAGAAGTAGGTATTATAAATCTATAAATTAAACCGTTTTCTATATATTAGGTCATAAGTATTTTTAAGGACAAGTTCTCGCTTTATAATATAGTACTTATAAGTATAACGCACAATAAATATCTAGTTGTAAGCTTTGATTTATATGAATGGAAGAATTAAAGTTCTTTTGTCCATGTCCTCCTATTTTTTTCTATATTTTTTTTTATTAACGATTTTCGAAATTTCCTTTATTTGAATAGGTAGGTATTTAAATATGAAATTGCAGATAAAGCGTACTGGTCACTTTGACTGAATAGTGCAGGGTTAAGAGTATATAGTAACTGTCCTATACAGGAATAGGCTCCTTGCCACAGACTAATATGATGCTTACGATCTCCTTGCTAACGTGGAGTATAGAGGTAAGGAGAACCATCTCATATGGGGGGAAATATCTCATCTCATATGAAAAAGTGTCCAACTGTATACTGAAAATAGAGGTTCCAAAACCTACCACAACAGCGTTTCCGTCTGAAAAACTACGTTATGAACATAGCTGTTGCAGACGAAGTGAAGTGTGCTGAGTTCAAATATTTAAAAATTACTACTAGAGTAATTAGTAAAATGGCAGTATACAAAACCTCAATTATTTACGTACTCTAAAATAATTAAATAAATATAACCAAAAATTTGCTGTGAGAAAACGTGATTTTATTAGTGTGACTTTTTTTAAATAATGATTAGTTATTTTTTGTATTGTGAAAAGTTGTCCAAATGAACTTTAACTAAAAACTACACAAAATGGATCACCTCAGCTTTTGTCTTTTTTCCGATCTACTGTATTTTGAGTAATTATTTTGAATTATTGCATGCCGTAAGCGCCTATGCGCGTCGGTATGTTCTACTAGGGCGTAAAAATTAAGAGTCCAACGTTTTTATTTAATTTACGACAAACTGATTGAGAAAACAAATTTAAAATAATTCAATTCATGCAAAGTGTATATTCTTATAGTATTTAACTCCTTATTTATCCATCTTATTTTAATTACTTTTGGCGCTTATTTTAAATTTATCCTAAGCTACCGCAGCGCCACCCTTATTGGACGCGTTTTTACGGACACTTGTTCATACACATTTTTTTAAATAACTGGCTTTACGGCTCTGGAATCTAGCCCTTCTGAGCCTGAAGTTACTATATATTATAATTATCCTTCATAGTATACAGCTTCGCAATATGTTGATGCGTCACATTGTGCAGCCCTTGGGAGATTTTAACGGCAACTTGAGCCAGCAGACAGCTGACGGTTGGCGATGGTATCTCAAGGCACCTAAGCAGACAGACACCTTATTTTGAGAATCACATCACCATCAGAGCACTTGTTTCACAGTTTCCACTAATAGTTCACATGCGCAGACACTTAATACGCAAAATCGCACCACTTTTACTTATCAAAGTCCACTTCAAACCATCATTTAAACAATAATACAGGAGCAGCAAACCGCCTCCGCTTAAGTTCCCGCCAAAACTCTTGTTCATACACAGAGATGGTTCTTCCACAGAGTACCTTTGTATAAATCGAAAGGTTCTCCTTACCTCTACCGTCCATACCTCCATACTAACTATTATTTACTATACTCTTTAATCAAATTCAAAATTATGACATAATTTTTCTTTATATATAGTGGCATTGTTTACAAGGCCTTTAGCCAAAATGAATACATCAGACATTGTTACATTATTTTATTGTTTGTTAACAATTTTTTTCACAATAATATGTTGATGTTACATTGTAATATGTATGGAAAATTCAAATATCGTCAATAAACAAAAAGATTTCAAAATGGCGGCCACTGTGGTAAGTGGCGATATGTCTGAAAATACCGAAGTGAACTGACTTAGCTATAATAAAAGACTCGTAATTGGATGAAAAGACAGATCCATCCATCAATCCATTACAGCCTACAAAAGTATGGAGTGTAGAGTAGAAGGAGAACCATCTTATAAGGTGCGAAAGTTGAAAAAGTGTCCCAATATATACTGAAAATAGAGGTTCCAAAAACCTACCACAATAGCGTTGGCGTCTGAAAAACTACGATATGAATATAGCTGTTGTAGACGGAGTGAAGTCAGCTGAATTAAAATATTTAAAAAATTTCATGACTACAGTAGTTAGTAAAATGCCAGTATACAAAACCTCAACTATTTACGTAGTACAAAACCAAGCGGATTGGTCGGTCCTTGTTTATTTCTCCATCTTATTCTAATAAATTTTGGCGCTTTTTTTTAATTTATCCTATGCTACTGCAGCGCCACCCTTATTGGACGCGTTTTTAGGGACACTTTTCATATACAGAGATGGTCCTCCTTCTACTCTACACTCCATATACAAAAGTCAACTGCTGAACATCCCCCATAGAATGCCTCATAGGGAGGATTTTACTATAGTTGCCACGCTTGTCAGACGGGTTGTCAACCGCAGTTTTTTTATTATTTGTATTGTAGAAGGATTTAAATAAATAATATTTTATATAAATTATTAATATATAGAAATTGGTGTTGAGTTTAGGTATTTATTTACGTTACATAGATCAACTGTAATTAATTTAAAAAAAAACAATTTTTAATTTCTATTTATTACATAATGTAATAATGAATGCATGTAGATGTAC